TGAGTATTTGAATCAGCCTCTGACCAACAAAGACCAAAATATTTACTGAATATCAGACTCTTTACTGAAAAAGATGGTAGAACTGACACAGATAATGCATCAGCATGAGAAAGAGAATACAGAGCTGTTGTCAGTACTAGATTAATGATACAATTTATTCATTTAACCAAAAACTAGGGGGACAAAAATAGAAGCTAAGAGTTGACTTGTTACAAGAAAAATCACCAACAATCCAATCCCACTGAAATTCTTAAAAATTTCCATCACTGTTATTCTAAAAATATTTGTGCAATAAATGATGAATGGTAGTTCGGTTGGTGGTTGAAAACAATGAACAGAATCAGACAACCCGCAAGTCTTCGGCTTGATTCTTCTACTTCCTGGCTGCCTGATCCTGAGCCTATATAGCAGAAATGTTCATTATAACACTGTAATAGTAATGAATTAGAAACAATCTCAATGTCTGCTAAGAAGTGGATAAATTAAAATGTTATATAAGCATATGCTGTATTAGTGAAAGGATAAACTGAGACCTACAGAAATAATGTTGACTAAGAAGGAATTAGCCTGTGCTACACAGTGAGTTCCAAGTCAGTTTCAACTACATAGTGAGACCCTGTCTCAATATACCAAAAAAAAAAAGGCTGGGCGTGGTGGCACACGCCTGTAATCCCAGCACTGGGGAGGCAGGAGGATCGCTGGGAGTTCGAGACCAGCCTGGACTACATAGTGAGTTCCAGGTCAGTCTCAACTACATAGTGAGACCCTGTCTCAAAAAAACAAAACAAAACAAAACAAGAAGAATTAAATGAGCAACAATATTGTAAAACTTAATATATAAAAATATATAAAGTTTAAGACATACAAAACAATGCTACATTCTTCCTGCTGGGCACAGACACAGAAAGTTATACAGCATGGATTGGAAGGACATACATGAAAAATATAAGATAATTTACCTTTAAAAATAAAAAGTACTGAAATAAATGAGTTGTTTTTTCCTTTCTCACTTTGACATGGTTAAGAATATCCTTGCAATTAAAATTATTTTTATCAATTTCTCCAAATTTCAAAAAAAAAGTTTCAAAGCATAGGCCAGAGTAATATTTTATAAACTGCAGATTACAACCTAATGTAAAATTAAGTCTTTAAAGAAAAAATACAATGTAATAATCAAATATATTACTTATTTATGAGTATGTACTGTTTTATGAAACTTATTTCTAACACTTAAATGCAATATGTGTACTAGGCCTTAACATAAACCTGTTTTGAAAGTCTCATGTTTAAAAATGTCATTGGTCTACAGACATGAGAAATTGTAATCAAAAGGTAATGCACTACAACACAGGCAAGAAATTGGAATGAAAATTAAACTTTGGGTGCTATTAGAGACAGTTTTGGCAGTTTCAAGTGTTATAGGCAATATTATGTTGTCTAGGATAACTCTGCTTTACTAATGGATTGAGGTAACTCTGGAATAATTCAGGAACTAGTTTAAGCATTGTAATTTTAATTGCAAATACAGAAGGGAAGTTTTCTTGAAAGTGAAGAAACTGAAAATTATAAAATTATAAAAAAAGATGATTATAGGGTGAAGATGAGATCTTAAGCAGAAAAGCAATTTTAAAACCATGATACTTATAAATTTTTATTAATGGTTTGCTCAGAATTAGTACACCTTTAGATAAATTTGTCAGTGACTATTTCTCTCAATGCTGCTACTTGATTTTACTGGAAAATATATTCACAGAAAAGCTCACATTTCTTTTACCTCCTAAAAAAAAAATCAGGTCCGGGGATTTGGCTCACTGGTACTGCCACCTGCCTTGCAAGTGCAAGATCCTGAGTTCGATTCCAGGTAGAGAAAAAAAAATCTGTATCTATATAGATATAGATATATATACATACATACATACATACCAAAGTAAACTGGAATAAATCTTATTGGTACAACAAATTAAATAAACTGGTAGCCCTAGGTAACAAGACTTTAAACTCTGAATTAACTAACGGCTCCCCCTATCCCAAACTGACCAAACTCCCTTTCCTAAGAAGGTAGTAGCATTCCAAAGGTACTTCTGGCAAGAAGAATGACAATTCTAGAAGTCATTAACTTTGAAATTTTCCAGCACACCTGTGTGTGTGTGTGTGTGTGTATGTGTGTGAGAGAGAGAGAAAGAAGAGGAAGAAGAAGAGGAAGAGAGAAGGAGAGAGAGATGCAGCAGATGAATTCCTGTTAGTATTTTCTGGTAACTTTAAATGTTGAGGTTCCTGCTCTTCCTAATTCCCCAAGAGTCAGCTTTGAGAGAATTTCACATTTCTCTCAATGACAAATTTCAGATGTCAATATAACTGAACTAAGGGATACTAAAGAACTGATTAAGTTCCTAATACATCCCTTACACTAAGAATGAAGAAACTAAGGCTTAGCAAATAAATACAAGTGATTTGGCTCATTTAAATTATTAGTTTGAATTGAAACATTTTGGATTTAGGGATGCTCAACCTGTAACTAGATACAGGACGGAGGAAAATGAAGAAGGAAATCACACTGAGGATCCTAGCTTCTAGGTAGAGTCTAGAATCTAAGTCATGATTAATAGTTTACTGAACAAGAGACTAGTAACAGCAAACAAAAGTAATGACTAAGGGAAAGGGAATGTTCAGATAATTTCAAGATTGTGACACTGAAAAAGATTTTACATTTGCTACTTGTAGTTCCC